CCATTCCCCCCCCCCCCCCCCCCCCCGTCTTTCCCTCTCTCTCCAGCCGGACGGGAGTTTGGTTGCGCCGCCACTGGTTCTCCCGGCCGCGGGGTGACGTCAGACATTCTGGTGTCCATATAAGGAGATCGTGCAAGCCGGAGTGCTCGGGACCCGGGGGGGGGGGATTCCAGAGCGGGGGACCCTTCCCGCTCCCCCGCCCATGTGCCGAGCATTGCGGCCCGATCCAACCCCCCCACACACACACACACACCGCGGGTTGCTCGGAAGCAAGGGCTGCTGCTGGCGCTGCGGGTGGGGCGTCCCCAAATGACCGCGCCGGGGGAGCCACCGCAGCCTTGCCAGATGTGGGGTCTTGTGAGCAAAATTTCTGCTTGGTGAGCTCCTGGCATTAAAGTTGTGAGCGAGCAATTTGGCTCCTGCATAAATTAGTTTGCTCCGGAGCCCTCCTTCCTGAGCTAGGATAAAAATGTGTGAGCCCGAGGCTAAAAAACTGTGAGCTAGCTCACACTCACTCAGCTTAGAGGGAACGCTGCTTTACCACCCGCCTCCCTGGGCGTGAAATAAACGGGTAACCCACAGGGTTCCTGCTTCTCCTTCCTCGGAGGAGTACAGGGCGTTAGCCCTGGTTCTCCCCCCCTCCTCCGCTTTAGCCTTACAACAGCCCTGCGAGGTAGGCTGGCCTGGCAGAAGACGGTTGGCTCAAGGCCCACCGGGATGCTTCGTGGCTGAATTTGGACCAGCTCACAGTCTGACAATCTTAGCTATGCACCTGGGTGGGGAGCAAGCCCCCATAGACCGCAGTCGACCGGTGGCACATTGCAGGGTTGCCAACTCCAGGTTAGGAAATCCCCGGAGGTTTGGGGCGGAGCGTGGGGAGGGGAGGGGCCTCAGCAGGGTGTAATGCGGTAGAGCCATCCCCCCCCCCCCAAAGCAGGCCTTTTCTCCAGGGAAACTGGTCTCTGTGGCCTGGCGGTGAGTTATCCTTCCAGAAGAACCGAAGCTGGCAACCCTGGAGCCCACTCAGGTGTCCCAGCAGTCATGGGCAGTGTTCCCTCTAAGCTGAGTGAGTGTGAGCTAGCTCACAGTTTTTTAGCCTTTGGCTCACACATTCTTGTCTTAGCTCAGGAAGGATGGGACTCCAGAGCAAACTAATGTATGCAGCAGCCCAGTCGCTGGCTCACAACTTTCATGCCAGTAGTTCACAAAGCAGAATTTTTGCTCACAAGACCCCACAGCTTAGAGGGAACATTGGCAGTCACCTCACCTCTAGAGGCACTGCACCTGCTCTCTTGCATAGGCCAGTTTATGATAGTCCCGCACAGTGATGCCATTCTCCCCCCCCCCTTCTTTCCACTGTCAATCCCCCCCCCCAAAGCCTTGGCTCAATTCATTCCCTGTCTCTACTGTATATGCAAAGGAGCGCTCAAAAGTAGTGCTTCCCTCCCTTCTCCCGCTTCAGGACGCTGGCCGCCCCTCCTCCGCCCCCCAAGTTCCCAAATCATTCTTCCCAGTGCGTAGACCAGACCGATGAGCCGGGTGTGTGCGTGACACACACAAGCACGTGTTGGCTCTTCTGCATAAAATCCGCTGACACGGGATTGGTCCATACCAGAGCAATCCTCCTCCACTGTATACTCTGCATGTGTGTGTATCTCTGCTTTAGGCAGGGGTCTTGTTGTAGAAAAAGAGCTGCCGGAGCTCATTAGCATAATTCATTAGCATAACTTATTTGCATATTCCACGCCCCCTGACATCATCGGAAGTGACAGAAGGCCACACCCCCTGACATCACCGGAAGTGTGTCAGAAGGCCCGGCTACTTACCCTCCTGCTTCATCCTCATTCCCAAATGGAATGAGGATCGAAGCAGAGGGCGGGGTAAAGAAGGGGGCGGGGCTTCACCACGTGACCGCCCCGCCCCCTAGAGGTTCTCTTCCGGAGCTCCGTACCTGAGAGCTCCCCCCCGACTAGAGCCCTGGCTTTAGGTATTTGTGTGTGTGCATCTGCTGCAGGTAGATAGATATAGATATCTGTATATGTGCTGTATACTTTATTTGGTCAACCCAGAAAGTGTGGGATTGGGGGGTGGGATCGGGTCCTGTGCGCAAGACCAAGTTTGTCTTTCAGAAAGCAGAATCTGAACCCAGCTCCACGTCAAATATTTCATTGTTAGACATTTGTGTTTCGTTAGCTACAATCAGCTTGGTGAAATACACTGTTTACAAACCGCGCCTACCGCAGCAGGAAGGGAGTGGCTGACGACCGCCAACTTCTCTTTCTCTGGCTGCCTTTGAAGAAGTTCCATCTCTGTGAGAAGGTGAGGTCTCTTCCGGAAGTCCTACTTTGATACTATTTTTTACGTCAAGGAGCTGCGGAAAGCATTGATTAATTTGGCCAAGGAGCTGTGTGGGAGGGTAGATTAAAAACCATACATTATTTTGAGCATGTGCATAGTGTATTTCCTCACCAGCTCGGCCTCTGTTTCTGCGGATTAATTAAACAGGAAGGCTACTAGGGCCAAAGTCCTGGCTTCCTGGCAGGTTTCCGAGCCATAAGGACTGCCCGAAGGAAGACCTGCAGAATTCCAGGTTTGCCCACGCCCGTCCAAAATTATGCAAGCAATGCCTTTACAGCTCTGTGACCTCACTCGTCAATGCAAACATGAATTTTATTAGAAGAAAGTCCAGGGGCACCTTTAAGACTTTGTTGCATGCACATGAAAGCTTGTACCCAGAATTAAACTTTGTTGGTCTTAAAGGTGCCACTGGACTCAAGCTTTGTTCTGTTGTTTCAGACCAACACAGTGACCCGCCTGAATGAGTTTTATTAAACACTCGAGGCATGAATGTATACTGGAATGGAGGGGGGCGGACTCCCCCCAGATTAGATGTACAAACGGATGTGTTGAGAGACCTTCAAACACACATGCCTCATAAAAGAAGGGATGGTGCATGCTCCTGCTTTGCCACCCGTGCCCCCGAGTCCCTTTCCTCCAAGATGCCACGAAAAAGGGGGTGTCTTGGGATCCAAGGTGCAACTTCTCTCCTGGCAAAGTGAGCCTGGCTCAATTCCCTCCACTACACACCTTGCGGAGGTGAGCTCCGTGGCCTTTCCTTGCGTCAGATCACCCTGGCCACACTGGGCAAGCTGAGAGCTGCCCTCAAGGGGTCCAGGAATGCTCACTGCAGGCAGGCAGCACGGGCTGCTTTGCTGGTGCCCCCATGACCTCCTGCCACTTGAAGCAGAGGGGGGGGGTTGTTTGCCCTTTGTAGAAAAAGCCCAGCAGGAACTCATTAGCATAGTAGTCCACACCCAACAGCAGAAACGCATTAGCATATCAGGCCACACCCCTGACAGCACAGCTCATTAGCATATTAGGCCACACCCCGCACCTTCCCTTGGCTTGCTCGGGCGCCCCGCAGCTGCGGGGAACCTGGGCCAAGCTCCCCTTTGAAGGGAAGGGAAGGCAATTTAAACTGCCTTCCCTTGGCTTTCCCAGGCGCCCCGCAGTTGTGGGGAGCCCAGGCAAGCCGGCCCTTGGGCGGGCCAGGGAAGGTACAGGGAGGCATTTAAATGCCTCTATGATCCTTCCATGGCCCCCCTGGCCCGCCTGCCTTGGAGTCACGGGGGGGTCGCTCTCCAGCGGGGAGACATTTAAATGCCTCCCCGATCCTTCCCTGGCCCGCCCACCTCGGAGTCGCCGGGGAGTCGCTCTTCGGGTCTTCCCTCTGTAGCCACGCATGCAGAGGTTTTGGCTGTAGTGGGCGTGGCCAACTCTGAAGCCAGCCGGAACTCCGTTCCTGTGCGTTCCTGCCCAAAAATAGCCCTGGCCCTTCCACAGATACTTTCCGTGCACTTTGCAACTGGGCTTTCCTGGGTGAAAGGGCAAACGCTACTTGCAAATGATCGCTAAGGTGCTCTGGGAGTGGACTGTGCAAACGCCTCGTGTGGCATGTGCGAATGTGCCCGGGGAGACCTGCTCTCTCACAGTCTTTATCCCACCTGTCTTCCTCCAGACATGACGTCACGTGGTCGGGGTGGCGTGCATGAGTCTTCTTTCCCCCACTTGATCCTCACGATACCCCTGTGAGGCAGGTTTGGCGGAGAGCGACTGGCCCAGGGTCACCTCCCGATCTTCATGGCAGAGTGGGGATTTCAGCCTGGGACTCCCAGGCCCTCATGGGGCACTAACCGCTGCACTGCACTGCCTCTGCTCTCTGCCCCATTCTCAACAGGGCACCCTCCGCTTGCAGGCGCCAGCAGTAAGGGAATCACAGACAATGGACTCCCCGTGGCTATATGGGAAGGCAACTGGGTGAAACAAACCCTTTAGCTGGAGTCGGCACGAAGTAGATCGCTTTCACAGGCGGGGGGGTGGGATGTGTGTGACCATCGCGGGACGGCTTCTCTGTCTTTATTAATCCGGAAGATTTTGCTGTCTTCTTTATTCTTTCAGATTCATAACACCCGCCAGATCCCAGGGGGCACAAGCGTGTTTGGCATCACAGCAGGGCGCTCCAAGGCCCTTTGAGAGCTGACAATCAAGGCAGGACACAGAGGGAGATCTAAAATATTAAAGAAAGGACGCGAGGTCAGACATCATTCATCAACACTTGTTGTCATTCACCTCCAGCAGTATTCTAAAGCATCCCTGCAATTAC